CTTCTTCTTCTTCTTCTTCTTCTTCTTCTTCTTCTTCTTCTTCTTCTTCTTCTCATCCGCCCCTACTCATCCCCCTACTCCCCCCTCCTCCAACTCCTCCTCCTCCTCCTCCTCCTCAACCACTCAACCTCGTCCGCTGTTATTTTTTTGTGCCGTTGTGCGGTATTTTCTTCGATTATTTATTTATGTTACGAAGTCAAGTTTCTAGTTTAATTTCACCGTAAGCCAGACCTGTTTAGCCGTCATTTGGTCGACAGCGTCAATTCGCGATTCCGCAATATCTCACCTGTGTTATGATGTAACTATGTGGGTTATGTCAGAAAGTAACATAGGAAGGGCGGCGGAAAATTGCGCATGTTTTTAATCCTATTGTCAAAAAGTTCAGAGATTTTCCCAAACCTGTTGGAAAATTGCGCAGGGATTTTCAGTATCGAGTATTTCTTAGGTTGTGTAGATATTCGACATTGTACCGACTTGAAATTCTATATGTACAAGTTTAAGTAATAGACCTCTTCCACTAGCAAATTATCAAGACTTATTTCGTTTCATTGTATACATACTTTTTCGTCCTTTCTCTGCCACGAAAACCTCCGTTTTAAGTTTCATTTTGAGCGCGACGAAATTGCATTGGGCTTACTCATCTATTTATACAAAGCCGCAAATATATATTTACTTACTTTCTGGTTCTTCTGAGACAAACTTGCCCGATTATTTTCAGCTAAACAATGTACCCCCTCTGACGTCCAGTCTGGTAGAGATGTCTACTATTTGAACGATTTTCAGTGAACTCTCAAACAGCTAAACATAGTCGAGGTCGGGATCCTGATTCAACCCCATACCATACCTCATAATTACGATACCAAACAAAAAAGTGGGTAGTAGGCGGGTGCTCTGGTGTGGTTTGCTCCTTCTTTCCCATCAAACATCTATCGTCCTTATCTCCCCTTCTTCTTTTTTATGTTTGTTACTTTGTTACTCTCTTGTAACACCTCCAATCTTCTGGCGCTCATATGACCTTATGCAGTTGCGAGCCCCGTAAAACCTCTACTAAAATAAAGAAAACAAAACTAAAAAAAACCGTACTCAGGAAGGGCGGCTTATTGAGTAACCCTTGCATAACATGATAAAACCTGCGCAATTTCCCGGCCTCCCCCCACCCCACCCCCCGGAAATGGGGGGGGGGGGGGGGCAGTGGCTGTCTCTGCCCCACAATATGCACTTTTCAGTCATTTATAGTAGCAATTCGCAGTTTTGATGGATGTGTGTGGGCAGTGATAGGATTTCTCTATTTCTTTCCCATCCGTTTTAAAATTTTACATAAAAATTATAAAACATACGTAACAATGAAAAAAATCATATTCAAAAATGATAAATCATACATCATACATAAAAATGATAAATCATTAATACAAATGATAAATTACCCATAAAAATGGTAAACCATACATAAAAATGGTAAATCATACATATACATCATACATAAAAATAATAAATCATATATAAACATGATGAATCATACGTAAAAATGATAACTTCCTGAACTCTCTTTCTATGTCAACCAGAGTTAACAACTCCACCCCATTCTTATAATGCAGTTTCTGCATTGTGTGTGTGTGTGG